CCAGCTGGAAGATGCAGATTCTGATCTTCCTTGGTGGAATCAGCATTGGGTGACAAAAGCACCCCCCCCCCCAAAAAAAAAGACAGCTAGAAGAGTTGGCAGTTAAATTCCCCCATTGTAAAGATCCCAGATGTGTAGCTCTTAATGCTAAGGGCTAGTTGGTATTTATGCAGGATGATTGGCCACACCTCAAGAAATTAAAAAGAGGCTGGCAATGTGGTAGTGTCAACTATGAGGCAGGGTCACTCAGGGGAAGGGTGCAAAGGAGAGGGAGTTGGCTTGCTATCATACTAGCTAGAATATGTCAATTCTTACATGCAAAACTGCATGCAAAAAGTCGATTCTGGTGTGAAAGAATTGGCCATCTGCAAGGATGTTGCCCAGGGGACACCTAGATGTTTTAGTGTTTTACCATCCTTGTGGGGGGCTTCTCTCATGTCCCCGCATGGGGAGCTAGAGATAACATAAGGATCTCATCCACACTCTTCCAGCATTCGAACCTCTGACCTTTCGGTCTTTAGTCCTGCCAGCACAAGGGTTTAACCCATTGCACTACCGGGAGCGCCATCTGTTTTAATTATTTCTACCTTCATTTTTTTAAAAAATAACTCAAGCTCATTCCTCTTGAATATGAAGCAACTTGAGGGCATTGCTAAATTCTTACTGAAAGTCAGCTGAAAGGAGATTCTTCCCCATTTCCACAGGCCATATTCCCATCTTTGTATCTGCCTACTGGATAACTATTTAAAGGCTAGCAGCCTCTCAAAACAATGTGTGTGTGTGTGTAAGAGAGAGGAAATAATGGGAGTTGTAGTCTTTAACCTTCTCTGCCAAAGAATGCTGATGTCTCATTAAATAACATCTCCCTGGGTCCCATAGCACTGAGCCATCGAAGTTAAACCTGCATTAACTGTACTGGTACATGGACTCTAAGGCTGAATCTACAGTGCCAAATAGTGCAGTTTGAACTGCATTGAACTGTGTTGTATGGGTCTACAGCAGGCATGGGCAAACTTCGGCTCTCTGGGTGCGTTGGGCTTCAACTCCCACAATTCCTAACAGCCGAAGGAGTTCAAAACACCTGGAGGGCTGGTCTACAGTCACTCTTTAGTGCTTCCCAACCTTTGATCCTCCAGGTGTTTTGGATTTCAACTCCCAGCCAATTTACCAGCTGTTAGGAATTGTGGGAGCTGAAGGATCAAATGTTGGGAACCAATGCTACACTGACTATATAGTGTAGTTCAAACTGCATTATTTGGAACTGTAGATCCCAGTTTTGCATTCACTGCAGTTATTGGTAGTGCAAGTCACATGCATGTTTACTTGAAAATAAGACCTATTACTTCTTAGTAATAAATATGCCAATAGGTTTGCAGCTTTAAAGCACAAGTACTGGAATGGGCTAACCAGGTGTTAGACTGACAGCTATAAGCCAAACTTGTAATGTAAGCAGTGTCAAGAAGTAATGCCATGTTTACAAGGAAACAGACCTTTAAATGCCATGGCAAACAAAGAATGAGTTATTTTTAAAATGTGTGAGAAGGGTAAAAGTAAGAAAATCACTAGCTGTTTCAAGTCTCGAGGGGAAATGCGAACCTGAGGAGCCCAGGAGGTTACACTGACAAAATAAAGAACGGATTCTCTCTTCTTATTGGTTATCTTTTTCCTCTGATTCTACCTCTATTTTATGACCAGATGGTGTGTTTCATGAAATGGAAATTATTCTGTGTAATCATTGCCAACATTTTGGAAGTTACAGAATAAGTGAAAGACTTATTATTCCTTGTCCTATTTGGAGACTTGACAGGAAAGTGACAGCAGTAATAAAAGATTGAGACACTGATTACAAAGAATGTCGGGCTAAGAATAAAATGCAAACGTTCCAGACAGAAATCTGCAGACCAGGCTTCCAAGTGTTTCAGCAAAGACTCCTAAGATAGGAATAAAACAAGGACCTCAGAGATTTATAGCAAAAACGTTCTCCACATTCTCCCCAGAAAGGAGCTGACATATTACAAGGAAACAGTTTGGATACATAAAAATAATGAGTTTGTTGCCTAATGCCCAAACTGTTGCACTCCAGGCCTGGAAACACCGATGACCATCGCACCACACAGGAGTCCAGAAATATAAGCAAACAATGTATTGTTGAAGGATTTCATGGCCAGAATCACTGGGTTGTTGTAGGTTTTTTGGGCTGTATGGCCATGTTCTAGAAGCATTCTGTCCTGATGTTTCACCTGCGTCTATGACAGGCATCCTCAGAGGTTGTGAGGTCTGAGGATAAACAAACAGTTTATTTTAAAACACATAAAAAGCATATAAAATCAGGAATAAGAAAGGAAAATATATAATCAAAAAGGTCTAGCAATAGGTGATAACCAAACAATAATCCAAATGTCTCATAAAGTTCCAGAGGTGACAAAGTCCAGGAACAGCCAAAAATCACAGGTACAGCATAAGTCCACAAGCAAGAAGATTTAACTAGTAAAAATTTAAACAGGAGTACATGAACAGGTATATAGAAAATTTCCAGGATATATTAAATCCAAAACCAAGGCTTGACTTGAACCAGGAACGAGAGATGTTTAGCTTCTCAATCTAATGCAGCATTGCCTGAACTGCTCTTAAAGTAAACAACTTGTTGTTTAATAGACGCCTATGAAAGCATTATGTCTCCCATGAATTTTCTCCATAACTTTCCCACATAATCTTTCTGACTGACACAATCTATTTTCAGCTCTGATTTGTAAATGAAGACTTTTGTTGATCTCTGTAGCTACAGATGGTTTTTCCTGGGAACCCTCCTTATCATTCAGCCCTTCACTTGATTCCTTATTTTCTGTGGCTACTTCTTGCTCCTCTGACTGGCCTTGAAGCCCTGCACTTTCCAAGCCAGTTTTTTCACAGAATCATCATTTCCCAGACCTGAATTTCCCAGACTTGAGAGCCCATCATTTTGTGCCATAGGAAAGCCCTCAATCCTCTCTAAATCATCAGTTAAACTATCAGCCTATGGCTAATCTACAACACAAACAGAGGCATATACAAAATATATTATATTATTAGCATAGTAATATTACATGTAATATAAAATATACAAAATATAATATTGTATTATTATTATATTGTATTACATTATAATGTTATAAATATTATAATGTATATACAATATATTATATTATATATTGCAAGTAAGTATATAAATGTATACTTACTTGCAATATATAATATATTGTATATACATTATAATATTTATAACATTATAATGTAATACAATATAATAATAATAATAAAATATTATATTTTATATTGTATATTTTATACTAAATGTAATATTACTATGCTAATAATATGTGGGTTAAAGCACTGAGCTGCTGAACTTGTTGATTGAAAGGTCACAGGTTCGATTCCGGGGAGCGGCGTGAGCTTCAGCCCTAGCTTCTGCCAACCTAGCAGTTCGAAAACATGCAAATGTGAGTAGATCAATAGGTATCGCTCCGGCGGGAAGGTAACGGCGTTCCATGCAGTCATGCCGGCCACATGACCTTGGAGGTGTCTACGGACAATGCTGGCTCTTCGGCTTAGAAATGGAGATGAGCACCACACCCCAGAGTCAGACATGACTGGACTTAATGTCAGGGGACTACCTTTACCTTTTATATAAATGTAACTAAATAAATAAAAAATACATAAAAAATAAAACTTTACTTTTTCTTCGTAGAGGCTAAGGAGATTTCCCTTGAAATACCCACCATAGAAAAGCTGAGGAATCTTCAAAGTAAAACTTAAAAAAAAACCAGTATTTGTTACCATAGGTGCTATTTAACTATACCATATGAACTGCATGAATCCTATGTTCCAAGATGTGGATACCTGAAACTGTGAATAATAGAAAAATATATTTTGATTATGCCAGAAGCATACTGTGGAATCACACTGGAAGACTTAGAGATGCCCACAAACTTTTGGGTGAGTGTGAGTAAAAAGCTAGGAATTTTGCATCCATGAATAATGGGGTCATCGTGACTTTTTTTCATGAGGCCTAGTGGCCCCAGGTCTGGCCATAGATGCTGCTCACCAAGTGTTCATTCCTGCACCCCACCTGCCGTCTGTCTTTGGGCATGCTATTGCCTGCTGGCCAATTAGAACATAAGGCTGAAGATAATCCAGCCCAATTCCTTTGGGTGGCTCGGCCTTTTTAAAGGGGAAATATACTCCAAATCAGGCCTGGGAAAACTTCAGCCCTCCAGGTGAACTTCAACTCTCACAATTCCTAACAAAACACCTCGAGGGATGAAGCTTGACCATGCCTGCTCTAAATGTTAATATTTGGATGCTGTGGGCTATATTTCAGAGGAAGGGGCTAGCAAAACCACCTCTGAGGGCCCTATAACCCAGAATATCAAGGCAGAAAATCCCACAATATCTGCTTTGAACTGGATTTTCTGAATCCACACTCAGATAATGTGGGATTTTCAGCTTTGATATTCTGAGATATAGGGCTGTCTGGAAGGGCCCTGAGTTATCTGAGTTCACACTGCCATATATTCCAGTTCAAAGCAGATATTGTGGGATTTCCTGCCTCAATATTCTGGGTTATATGGCTGTGTGGAAGGGTCATAAGTCTTCATTGCCTAAAAAATTCATGGAGTCACCATGAGTTGACAGGTAAGTTGAAGGCACTTAGGCACACACAAAGGTAGTGTTGGTGGGATGTATTGATTACTGAATACTGAAAAGAAAAAGGAGACTGGGGTCTTCCTGATGGTCCCTCATCATTCCTGGTACAACCTGGCCCCATGGTTGCTAAGCAACCCCTTTGCATCTTCTGTGTCCCAGGATTCTGTGTCCCCAACCGCATCCGTTCCTGGGAGTTGCGCCTGGGAGCTCCTTTCTTCCTCACAAGGGCTTTTTAAAACGTGGCTTCAGCTCTGTGCAGAAGAGTTGGCCTTTACAAAGGGAGTGTGTGGCTGAAACGTAGAGAGTGAGCCGGCATCATGACCACCATGGAAGAACAGGATCTGAGCGAATATTTTCGTATGCAGTATGGACAGAAGTTGCTGAAACTGTTGATGTAAGTTGAACTCCTCTTTCTTCCCTCTTTCCCTTTCTCTTATCGTTTGGGTTCTTTCCTCTTGAAGCAGACTTATACCTACCTAGAGTTTCCCTCTGTTGTATCTTTCTCCAGTTCATTATTTCCCCTCTCGCACTTGGTGCTTCTTCCTCTCTTTCCCAGTGAATCTTCTTTATCACTGTAGGTAAAGGTAAAGGTTTTCCCCTGACATTAAGTCCAGTCATGTCTGACTCTGGGGTGTGGTGCTCATCTCCATTTTAAAGCCAAAGAGCCGGCATTGTCCATAGACATCTCCAAGGTCATGTGGCCGGCATGACTGCATGGAGCGCGAAGGTAATGGCACTCTACCATTTTACCACTGACATTTCACAAAAAATGCCCTGCTGGATCTATCAAAAATCCCTTGAATTTTGTTTTGTTTCCAGCTCTAATCAGCCGTTGAAACAAGATTCTCGGACTTAGGAAGCTTACAAACAATCTGAACTGTGGGTTGTTGTAGGTTTTTCGGGCTATATGGCCATGTTCTGGAAGCATTCTCTTCTGACATTTCACCTGCATCTATGGCAAGCATCCTCAGAGGTTGTGAGGTCTGAGCATGCTTGCCATAGATGCAGGCAAAACGTCAGGAGACAATGCTTCTAGAACATGGCCATATAGCCCGAAAAACCTACAGCAACCCAGTGATTCCAGTCATGAAAGCCTTCGACAATACATAATCTGAACTCTCTGATACTCTTCCAGGTGCTGAAACTACTAGCTTTACTTCTCTGCTTCCAGGGGAGCCTTCAACTGCCATAGGGCAGCACACATTTTTCAGCACACAAGGGCAGCACACAGATGAAGTGTGAGAGTTTTGGAATTTTCCTTTTCTGGATCACAACACTCAGAAAACTCTAGTAACATGGCCACAGTCATGCTTGTAAAAGTCTCTGAAGTGGAGAAGATAGTTAACTCTCTTTCATATACCTTCTCTCTCATACTGATGCTCTCACTCTTTCTATTTGTATTTCTACATTTTAAGGAAATTCCCTGTATCAGAGGAGCAGTCTCCGTCTCCTTCCATTCGACTCCTAGAAAAGAAAAAAGAAGCCAAATTGGTGCACCAGGCCATGGAGGCTCAAAAGGAGGTGAGGACCTCAAATTGCAGGAGGTGCAATTGGCAAGCTCTGTAATGTAGTGGGCTCTTCATATCCACTAGAGCTTGGTTCCAGGATTGCCTATTGATACAAATCCGGCGATGCTTAAGTCCCATTATACACAATGGCAAAGTAAAAACATGCCTCTTATATAAAATGGCAAAATCAAGATTTGCTTTTTGAATTAGGGTGTGTGTGGATATTTTCAAGCAATAAGTGGTTGAATCCATGGATGCAAAATCCATGGATACGAAGGAATATCTGTATACTTTAGCAACCATTACTAAATTGCACTATATGCTAGTACAAGCATGGGCAAACTTGGGCCCTCCAGGTGTTTTGGACTTCAACTCCCACAATACCTAACAGCTGGAGGGCCCAGGTTTGTCCATGCCTGTGCAAATGACATCCAAATGTGTTTCACCATTAACTCTCAATACTTCTTGGTCTATCTGGGCAGGACACCTGTTATTTTGAATATTTGTTTCATTGGGGCTTTTTCACTAGAGAGGGAGAGATCTAAAATATTGGATACTATGGTTAAGATCAAATTTAGGGAAAAGAGTGGGCTGTCTCCTTGGACACTGATTGGTGACAGTGTCCAGGTGCAGGCTAGCTGCTCTAGAGTAGACGGAGGAGACCTCACGCTCAGGTTAAGTCTGTTGTTAGTGTGGTCACAGTCAACCCACTGAGTACACACATTCCATCGTTAGTTAGTGGATAGGGTGGGAAGGGGTTGCATTGAGGAAACCCCATGGCTGTGTACCAAGGGGGTGCAGGATACTGCTTTGGCAATGTCCTCAAAAGTATATATGTTGTTATCAGTCTGGTTATGCTACCCAACTGGAGTGATGCTATGATTCTCATCCTAGTCTCCATATTATTCACAGAAGAAAATGTCTACTGCAGTGTTTCTCAACCCGTGGGTCCCCAGATGTTTTGGCCTTCAACTCCCAGAAACCCTAACAGCTGGTAAACTGACTGGGATTTCTGGGAGTTGTAGGCCAAAACAACTGGGGACCCACAGGTTGAGAACCATTGGTCTATTGCAGGGATCTTCAAACTTTTTAAAGAGAGGACCAGTTCACAGTCCCTCAAACTGTTGCGGAGGGCCAGATTATAATTTGAAAAAAAAATCAATGAATTCCTATGCACACTGCACATATCTTATTTGTAGTGCAAAAACACTTAAAAATATACAGTAATTAAAATGAAGAACAATTTTAACAAATATAAACTTATTAGTATTTCAATGGGAAGTGTGGGCCTGCTTTTTGGCTGATGAGATAGGATTGTTGTTGTTTTGTGCTTGCAAGTCATTTCAAACTTAGGTTGACCATGAGTGAGGGCCGGGTAAATGACCTTGGAGGGCCGTATCTGGCCCCTGGGCCTTAGTTTGAGGACCCCTGGTCTATTGTAATTCCATTACCACTTGTTCTATCCCCTGTGAATCCTTCAGGCCTTTAAGACAAGGATGGAGTCCTTGAACAACCGATGGGAGGAACTTGGAGCAAAAGAGGTCCAGCTGAAAGCATATATTCGGAAATTTGAACAATTCATACAGGTACTGGCCTCTTATAGGTGTCTGAATCTTGCTCAGAGCAATCGGAGTAAAAACAACCTTGAATTTCAATAGTAGTACCATGGGAGCTTCACAACCTTCCCTACTGTACCCCAGAATCCATTTGTGTAGTAGACAGGAAGGGAGAGTTTCATATTATTAGGAACCTGCCCCTAGAGTATAATCATGGTTATGTAAAGAACCTCCGCAGCTGGATTGCATTGCTTGACCCTGTCATGAGTCATGCTCTTAGCACATCAGAAGCAGACTGGTGGGTTTTAAAATGAAAAGTGACTGTATCTTAGCAGGAAACTTCATGTGACATCACTGTTAGCAATTCAGCCCATTGGGAGATCTTGGGCAAGTCACATTCCCTCCATCTCAGTGAAAGGCAGTGGCTAACCTCTTCTGAATAAGTCTTTCCAAGAAAATTATATAACAAATTTGCAATATGTTTGAGCCAACTTTAAGAAATATAGCAGACAAAACAATCCCAAATAAGGCCATTCAAAGGGCAGAGAATCAAGCAGCTGAGGTCTATTTGTGTAACAAAGCTCTGGCAGTTCTATGTCATGAAACATAGCTGGCAGAGACCACGTGGAACATCCATTCCAGCCCCCTGCCATGCAGGAAAAGCACAATCAAAGCACCCCTGACAGATGGTCATCCAGCCTCTGTTTAAAAGCTTCCAGAGAAGGGACCTCCAGCACACTCTAAGGCAATAAGTTTATACTTTTGAATAGCTCTTACAATCAGAAAGTTCTTCCCAATGTTCAGGTGGAATCTCCTTTCCTGTAATTTGAACCCATTGTTCTGAGGCCTAGTGTTACCAAGCAATAGAAATATTCACCTGGGTTAATTAATGCTAATAATGCCAAGGCCATGTTTCTGTGACTCACACATGCTATCTAAGGCAAAGCTTCTGCTTTTTTAGAGGAGGGAACAATAGCTCAGTGGAAGAACTCAGTGGGAAAACACATTCTACACAGGCGTATAATGCATCTCATACTCAGCATGAAAAATGCCAGTTCTGAGCCACATTTAAGCTGTCTTCACCACGGGACACTGGCTTGACATTGTATGCCAAAGCTGGTTTGGCAGACATGGATATTTGTTCCATCTTCCATGCACTCTGCACCTCATTCTTTCCAAGCTCCTTTGCTCCCTGAATGACAAAGAATCAGGAGGTAAAGACAAGGCAGTGCTAGTAAAGGGATTTTTTCCTGTCCTTTGGGGTGGCTGGGGGAAGAGGGCACCTTTTGGGGCTGCCTGAGTGTGGAATGGCTATAAGGATGCAATCCTGGATCTCACTTTTGCTGTCCCTCCAACACATTTCCTGGTGTATTTTAAACCTGCAATCCTACACTGCATTATATGGCAGTGTAAATGAGGCCACAGGTAAAAGAACATTGACATCCGCACATTAAAGTACCCGCGGTAGGTGATGATGATGTTTATTTATGCCTCCGCATTTTCTAAGAAAAAGAAATCCTTGCCAGATCATTCTAAAGAATCGCTGCCAGTCATAGTATACACTTATGAACTAAGGGGAGCATGAGCAAATTCCTTGACCTGGCATTTGGAGGGTATGATATTTTCATACAGCCTAATAAAGAGGGGATGCCATAGAACTGGGATTCATTTGCAGGAGCCCTCTCTTTTGTTAAAAACATATCTTGATTTCTTTTTAATGCTATATGTTGCTGGGATGGGCTGGGGATTCAACTTGGGGACTAATAGGAAAATGACCAGAAACGAATCCGAGCCTTGAAGAAAGCCAACAAGGAACGAGAACTGAAGAAACAGCGAATGAAAGAATTGGCCAAGGCTAAGCTGGAGATGACAACTCTCAAACAGCAGCATCAGAAGCTCTACAACAAGCTACAGCAATATTCCATCTTCAACAAATATCTGGAGAAGGTGGTTGAGGTTTCAGAGGTATGTACTAAGAATGGACCTCATGAGACAGGCAGGGGGAAAGCAAAAGGAAGCATCTTACCTCATCCCCTCCTGTCTTTCCTCATCTTGTGGTATGGCCAGCCGTCCCACATGCTTAACATGCTGTTCCCATCTTTCCCTTGCTTTCTCCCACATTCTGCTGCTTGGAGTCGGGTAATACTCAACTCCTGAAGATGGTCTTTGGGCTCCATTTGCATGCACTTAGGAAACAGAGCACCATGGAGTCCCACAGGAAATACCCTTATATCATATGATGGCTTCTGTGAGGCTTTGTTTTCTAAACTCATTGAAATGGAGCCCAAAGACCATCTGATGAGATCCTTAGAGTATCTCCTCCAGGTACTCATTTCCTGGCTTGGCTCTTTTACACTAAATTGGAAAACAGAGAAAATGGGAAAGTATCATTTTGTACCCACATTGACTCTGCACTAATATGTACTCAAACCCAGATACTGTGATCTGAATTGCAGAATAGCAGGGACATTGCTCTGACTGCTATTTCAGCCCAGCACTTGCACAATTACATGAACAAAGCTGGTGAATTTGTGTCTTTATTGTTGTCTCACCCTTTGCCATATCTTTGCTTTTACACATTATAGCTCCAGATAACATAATATAGTCTAGGTCAAATATCCATTGTACAATTTTAGCTGGAAGTGAGAGTCAGAAACACAGTTTTCCCAAGTATGATTGTTAGCAGCCATCCTATGCTTTCTGCTTTTTACAGGGCATAAGTGGGATAGAAATATGATCTGTGATGTACAGTAATTTGGAACTGACTCAGCTAGGGGAGACCCAGTATTTTGGGATACAAAGCAATCATGCAAGATATTCCTTTGCAGTTTGAGGAGATCCGGGAGGTTATTGGACGCTATAGGACTCTCATAGGCATGCACCGGGATCTCGTGCAGTCGGCCCAAGAGGGGCTGGAGATGATTGAACAAGCCAAAGTCCGCCTGGGCCGCTACAAGGAGGAAAAAGATGATGAAATCCTGCAGCACAACAATGAGCTGGCACGCTTGCAGCTACGTTTTGATCATGCCCGCAGTGATGTCATTCTCTGGGTAAGGGGCAAGGATGATGGTATTCCATTTTTTGAGAGAATGTTTTGCGGAAGCTCTTTGGTACATTTGTCACCAGTATGGGTGGAGCATATCACTTGGTGTTCTAAACCTATCTCTTCCTGAAGCACCAATCCTGAAAGATATTGTTTCAGTTCTGGTGTTAAGTAACATTCTGCTTGAGGGTGACCAAAATGCACCTTACTCCTGAGAGGTGGTCCTGGGCAGTCAAGAGACAAATCAGCGAACAGAAATTAAACTCTGCTGAACAGACTAACAAAGTCAGACTCAACTATGAATAAAGGTTTTCTGTTCTGGTGATCAGGAGTACACAAATTACACAATTAAAAATAGTGTGTCATCTGTGCCCATTCCTGATGATGTCTGTTCCAGCCAGTTACATGTTGGCTGGATTATAATAACAAGCTCTATGTTGAGCTGCCTTTGAAAAATATTTGGAAACTGCAATTGGGCCCAGAACATGCAATTTCCATCTTGAAACATCTTCATTTGCTACCACTCTATTTCTGAGAATAATTCAAAGTGCTGCTTATGATCTGTACAACTTGCATTCTCATTGCTATCACCTACAGAGGTACATTTCATGAGTACACAAAAGAGTGCATTTTGGCAGCTGCTCTCAGATTGTAAACCTCTTCTGGAAATAAGGTGATGCTAACCCAGGCATGGGCAAACTTTGGCCCTCCAGGTGTTTTGGACTTCAACTCTCACCATTCCTAACAGCCTGATGGAATACTGTGAGTTGAAGTCCAAAACATCTGGAGGTCCAAAGTTTGCCTATTCCTGGGTTAACCCTTTTCCAGTTGTTTTCCACCAGCACGCAAAGATATTTCTCTTGAAGTAGGCCTTCAGCTTGTTACGGCCAGAGTAATATAAAATGCATGTAGGAAACTTATAAATATTTACTCCTATGTATTATTAATGTGAATTTGTTATGGTTTTAACTGTTGTTTTAGTGGCATCGTTCATCTTTATTTTAATATGTATAAGGAAATCATGGAAACTATTTTAATAATCTTGGGAGTTACCCCACATCCCAACTCTGGGAGAAAGGCAGAATATAAATCTAAAACAAATAACTAGATTAAAGCATTTCAAAGCATCCAAAATCAAGTAGACTATATAACCTCTAGAGCAATGTCAGCCTACCATGTACTCTATATCTAGCAAACAGGAAAAATAACTTTGAAAGGAAATGCCCCTTTAGAAACCACAGCAACAATAACAACAAATCATGTAACCTCACTAGAAGTAGACTGAAGATATTCCCCACAATCCGTAGATGTGATCTCATCAGTATCTTACAAGGCAGAGAGTGATGGTAAGGGGCAGGGCTTATGAACTACCAGTTAGAAAGGAGGTCATGAATGACAAGGAATATTGTGCCCATGCAGTATTCCTTGGACACAGTATTCCTTGGTAAGACCACACCTGGTATAGTGTGTCCAATTTTGGGCACCACAATTTAAGGGAGATGTTGAGGAGGGCAACTAAAATGATCAAGGGTCTGGAGAAGAAGCCCTATGAGGAGTGGCTTAAAAAGCTGGGCATGTTTAGCCTGCAGAAGAGGAGGGAGCAGGCTTGTTTTCTGCCCCTTGGAGACTAGGACAAGGAACAATGACTTCAAACTACAGGAAAAGAGATTTCACCTGAACATTAGGAAAAAGTTCCTAACTGTGAAAGCTGTTCAGCAGTCGAACTCTCTGCCCCAGAGTGTGGTGGAGGCTCCTTCTTTGGAGGCTTTTAAACAGAGGCTGGATGGCCACCTGTCGGGGGTGCTTTGAATGTGATTTGGACTGGATGGCATACAAGGTCTCTTCCAACTCTGTGATTCTGTGATGTCATGTACTCAACCTGGGGCATCTCTACCAAACTTCATCACATTTGAATAATTTCCATGAAGGCAGACAGCCGGACAATATACAGAACATTTCCCAAAAGGCCTAGCTGGTGAACCAGGGGAATGGTGGTATGATCAGCCTTGTATTGTGATTGGGAGACCAGAACACAATAAATGCCACACAGAAAGTGCTTGTTTAGACTGGATGCTCTGCACTCTCCAAAGGGAGTTTAGGGCATCCAGTGATAGGCACATCAGCTAGAATTATCCAAAAGACTTCTCCATATTTTCCTCTTTTATTTCTCCATAGGAATCCCGCTGGGCCCATATCCAAAATACTGCTGCTCAAAAAACCCTAAAGTTGGGTACGATCAAAATGGCCACCTTGAACCTCTTCCAGAGTGTAAACAAGCAGATGAAGGAAACTTTAAGTGTGTCTGTGGAAGATACCCATAAGCAGCTGGATATGGTAAGAATGTTTCACATACGCACATTCACATAAACACGCAGTTAAATGCATTCCTTCTCATCAAGGATATGGGAACTGTGTTTCGCAGAGAAGGCTAAAGGCCTTGTAAAACTACAGCTCCCATAATTCCACAGTATTGTGCCATGTAAGTTAGTGGTGTCAAGCTTTATTAATTCTACAGTGTAGGTCACAAAAAGGGGGAAGCATTGTTAGGACATCTCATTTCACCTATGGAAAAGATTTCATTTGAGGCCAAAGGAGAGAAATAGTTATACAACATAAGAAGACTATTGAACACATAATCCAAAGTGAGTGACTTTAGTTCAGTAGAGTGTATCTGCTTTTGAAAAGGCTTGGGGCTCATGGTGGGAAATGACAGCACACAATTTAGGTAAAGACAAATCAAGTCAAATCTCTTTAATTCAAAATAGATCAGGTACGTGAGATGGTAGTAGGAGACCATGGACCATCAGGACCATGGAAAGCTCCCAGTGAGTTCAGCTTGCAGTTGCTTTCTCCTAGTTGCACGTGGAAAAGAAATGCTTCAACACAGAATGGACAATTTATGAATGCTAAGAAAACTTGCTCTATATTAGCCTAGAAGATGCTCGGTGAAAGAATGGGCTTGCATTTAAAGACATTTATTTGGTTCTATCACTCCTGGCACCTCCAAAATGAGGAGTACAAGTGTGCATAAGATTGGGTGCTAAAGGTTTGTTTCAGAGAGCAATATATGTTCTTCCATCTGGTTGTTCCTGAGGCACCTTAAGTGTCAGGACAGTGCTTCCATGGATCGGAAAAAGTCTACCTAGGACATTATCATCTAGGACATTTCTGCCTGAATTTTTTAAAGACTACTTTCTTAATTGCAATTCCCAGGACTCCACAAGAGACAGCTTAGGGATTTAAAGTGGAATAGCAGCATTTAACAGCATTTAATGTTTGGGAATCTGCTCAGTCTACCTTTCTGATTCTAGCAATATCCAGTCCCATGTCTCTGGGAACTGACAGGCTTCTATCATCATCCACTGTTTTTCCTTATATTTGTGAAAAGCACAGAATTTAGCTTCATCTGCAATTTCCTTCCCACGTGGTAATATAGGAGCTATTGGAGAGCAGAGCAGAAATATTTGGCTGTTTTCCTATTATTGGACACTCAATGTCAACTTCTTCCTCCATGCCTGTATCAGTTATAGGAAGCCAGCCAGTTTTATCGCCAACAGTTTGAAATCCCAAGCAGCATTCAAGTAAGCTTTGTATTCAAGCATTAGTTATTTATTGTTGTCCTAATTTGACAGTCTTCCCTTTTGCTTCCAGATCCAGCAGTTTATCCAAGACCTGTCAGATATCTGGACAGAGGTAAAAAAGAAGGATCAAAACCGGTCTCAAACTGGAGTGCCTAAGGACTAGCAGAAGAAAGGGCTATTTCATGTCTCCACTACATCTAATCTTGGCTTAAACTGGTTATATTGATTTGATCTTTCATGAACCAGATGTCACTTCACTGAATAGTGATTCACTCTTTCCCCATTCCTAATTTCTCTGCCCTTGGAAACTAAACATAGTCAATATGATATAAAGAGTTCTATTTTTGTTAACATTGCATTGGTTTCTCAGCTATATTTCTTTCCTTCTTTAATAAGACACCTTTTGACACACACGTACACCTCCACACAAAGCAATTAGGTTTACAAAAAGCACCCCATGTTCTTGAACAAGAGATACTTTTCAAGCCTACTTGCAACACAAGGCGTGTGCCTGCACGTGAACTTCTGTGTATACAAATGAATGGGTTATGTACAAGCATGTTTTTATATGCTCACAAATAAACATATCTGTGTATCATGCTGTATCATTGTGTGATGTATGATATGAACATGTGTTTATATGTGCAAATATTGTGTATTGAGTTTATGTAAATATGAATAGATTTGACAAGCATGTGAGAGAAAGAGGAAGGAAAAGGGAAGGAGAGAAAGAGGCCCTGACCTCTTTGAACAGGTCCATGGTGGCTTGTTGTCTCCACAAGGGTAGCCAAGGCTAAAACACTCCTTCAAATTGAAAGCATTTTCCCCCCACAAGCTAAGAGATACAAGGCAGGTAGAAATTTGGAGACAACTCATTTAGGTGAACTAAGACCTAGCAGAAGAAAATGAAGCAAGGGGTCATGTAAAATGCTTTCATTTAGCAATGGATACAGAAATCAGAAACGACACAACCATCCAGCAGGTGGAAAATTCGGGAGTCTCGAGCTCTTTATCATGCTGCTAGATCTTTCTGCTAGTGTTCTTCGGAAGCCCTGTTGCCAAGGCTAGTTTCACAGCACTCCCTCTGCACAGTTCTCTGTGCTGCAACAGGCAACCAATTGCAGCATGGGCAGGAATGCCAAGCTGGCATGCTATGCGCTCTCTCTCCCGCACTCACTAGAATAAAAATTAGCTTTCAACACTCAGAATCTTAAATTTAGCATGGAAAGCAGTGCTGATTAGAGTGAGAGCTGCACACAGATTCCAGATGCGAGTCTCATACATCCGGGTGCATTAAAGGGCAGCGCCTCTGGCAGAAGCCAGTACCGGGTGTATCTCTGAGCTGGCGTCACTGTTTCAGCTCTGCAGTGCAATCAACTGGCACTGATGACGCAAGTTCAACCAGGATGAGTTGAGTGGGGGGAAATGCCTTGTCTCTGGAGGCCATGATGACTCATCCCAAGTTGATTTCATTCAATCGGAGGCTGCCAGGGTCTCCACACAGTTTCCAACAGTTTTAGGAAGATCAGTGAGGAGGCACTGAATTCTGACCCTGCAATCTTAAGAAATCTGGAGAATAAAGCAAAACAATGATTCCCTTCCATTAAGCTGGAATAACAATGTTATCCAGAGTTAGGTTCACATGCCAGAGAGAATTCAGAAACTTTCCAGAAATAGTGAAGAAGTAACAGAATATTTGAATAGTTTTCTTCAGCATCAAACTAGTACTGATCTTAGGGATGGCCTTGTTGCTGTTGTTGGCTGTGATTCTGTATTACATATTTATCTATGCAACCAACATGGTTAAGGATTGTCTCTTGGCTTGAACCATCCCAATAGATCCCTAAGTAGCAGAAGCTATGAGTGACAAGAGTCTATTCCCCTGACAATCAGGGACAAGTGACTGAAATTTCCACCCCATCTCGCATAACTGATCTTGCATGCAATAGTCACAAGCAAAGGCCCTCTTGCAATTCCTCCTTGCACCAGAGATTGTTCATAGGAAGAAGGGTGAAGCATCAGCTGCTTCCTAATCAACAGGGAGTACAGAGCCCTATTGTTAATGGTAGCTGCTGCCTGGTAAGAGAGGACTAGGAGTCTTTCATAGTCCTTTAGTATTCCCGAAACTAGTGAATGTGTAGGAATCATGAATTCAAAAACTCATAAATGTATAACTCTAGGTTTCTCATTGTTGCTGTTGTGCACCTTCAAGAAGTTTCAATTTGTGGCAATCACAGGGTTTTCTTGCCAAGATTCATTCAAATGAGAGGGCAGGGTGCCTTTGCTTTCTTCTGAACTGAGTGAATGTGATTTGCCCATGGTCACCTAGTGGGTCAATAGCCAAGCAGGAATCTGGGCACTGCAACCTCTTCACGTGGCCATTTTGGGCCGTGCCATTTTGCCGGCAGTTGCTGATGAAAGGGAAGGTACGCAAGGTGGTTCGTGGTGCCCCACATGCCCTCTCTCATTCCCCCATCATACAGTGGGGACAGGACAGTTTGCATTGGCATCCTGTCCCTGTCCCCGTCAGATGGGAGAAAAGATGGCAACACACATTGCCCCCTCCCCTGCCCTTTCCCCCATCATAAGGAGAAAAGGGGAGGAAAGTGTAGGCAGTTCCATCTAAGCTACCAAAAATACACTTTCCTCCGTGTTTTAGTGCTTCTCCTACAGTTTGGGAGAAATGTATGATGGCACATGGCAGGCCCCATCCTAGCCATGAAACAAAGTATCAAAACAGGGCTAAAATGCCCCATGTGAAGAGGTCCTTAGTCTCCACAGTTGTAGTCTAACATGCAAACCATTACACCACACCGATTATGCACTCATACATTCTTAGTGAATTCTGGCCATCATCATCATTTCCTTCTTCAGAATAGAATTCACAGACATTAACTGTGTTCTCAGACACAGACTGTGTGATATGACGTATTCCTTTGCACAGCTGAGCATGCTTTTAAACAATGTGGAGAGGGGGATGGGGCATTTCTTCATTAACCAAAAGATATAATAAAATCAGGCAATATAAAGGCACAAAGCAGGATGCATTACTAAGTGTTCCTTAAAGCTGGCAGTAATGTGAGCTATTATGAAAATTAGTCAGCCTTCATTGATTAGCTTCCTGCAGTGATGGCTGTTCAGCTAAGGGTTGAATCTTTCCCTCATGTAAATATAGGTTAATATTCTTGTCGGTGACTCAGACTAGATAAGAATCACATTGTTAGAGGCCAACTAAAGGCACCAGAGTTGGTTTATCTTGTTGAGTATGTCCTCCCACATCAGCCTAAATGAAAGTTTTGGGTTTTTCCAGTTATAGATTTGAAGATCAGGATCATTTCAACCATGTCCAAGAAGCTTGGACTTTCTATACGAAAGGAGGAACTCATCAAATCTGCTTTTGTGGTGCAACCCAGCTAATTTGGATATCATTTTACCTTCATCTTTGCTACGTCTATGTTTTCACTGTATTGTGCCATCACTCTGTGGAATAACTTGAGTTTTGCTATGTACACATATTGGTACAGTGTACAGGCAGTCCCCAAGTTATGAACAAGATAGGTTCTATAGATTGTTCTTAAGTTGAATTTGTATGTAAGTTGGAACAGGTACATTCCCCATCTGTATCTGTATTTCTATCTCTATCACTATCACTATCCCTTAACTCTATCTCTATATAAGATTTGGATAGCAAAGGGAAGGGTTAACACTCCTGTGGTGTTTGTTTTGCTGTCTGTGCCCCTGTTCAGAAGATTTCACCTCACTTTCTTTCCCTATGGATTTTGAAAAAATTGGCTTGTTGTCGAAACAAGGATTGGGATAACACTTCAGCTGAAACACCTTTCCCCCTTGATAACTCTTTCAGCAGTAAATTTCCCTTCCAAGGGGTGGATTTTTCTCACTTCCTGTTGTCTCACCCCCATTCTTCAATAGGAATAGTTTGTAAGTCAGATCCTTGTAACTCAGGAATGGCCTGCAAAGGATGAAGTGAGATTATGTCATAGAATAAGTATACTTTTATACTTCACAGTACTTTAGAGAAGAAAAATCATTGCACTAAAGTGGTTGGGAAAGATCACCTTGACCAGTTCTTCATTTTAGCTGTAAAGTGGAAGGTACTTCAACCTGAAGTGTCGACAATACAACATTCACTACTTTTCAAAGAAATTTTACCAAGTCTCTCACACAGCATCATGCAACATCCAGAGACAAAATTCCCCTCAGCTTTGAAGCACCAACTAATGTTCCCTCTCCTTTGATCCATCTGTGTGCTCTCTAAGAAGTTTACTCTCAGGGAAGTAACCAATTAAAAATAATTAGTTATTTGTTATTCATGTTTCCTGCAGTTATAAAATAAGAAGAAATCAATTGGTTACTTTATAATTACAACTTTTTGAGTGGCCACATCTCTCCTTTTGCAAGGCAACTCTACATTTTAGTTCCTTTTATAGTTACACGGCCATGGCTTCACAAAAAAGTGGCAGGCGATTGCAAGGTTTGCATGCTGCCTCATGCTGCTGCTGCTTCAAGTTCTGTTGTGGAGTGGTTGGTGCCATAATAGAGGTACAGTTATGTGATTCCTCAATCAACGTATGTACTCCAGTACTTCAAAGTTTGCAGTCATGGCAGTTGTGCTGTAACTGCATAGTTTGTCTCAAGACTAGGGATCTAGAAAGCCCACAACTAGACACTATATTATGCCTCTGGGCCAAGTGCTACACATAGCCATGGGAATGAGGCAAGCTTCTTTACTGTTTTTATTTCCAACATTAAATATGATCAGCTGAAAGGAAGACACGAGTCTCTCATTATTCCTAAACCCTGTGAAGAAAGGGGCAGTTAGTAAGTGTAGCTTTTCTCACATTTGCACAAATTGTGCCTGCAAAAATATCTTCTTTGCTCTTGTCAGCCAGTAATTTGGTTTCCATGGAGCATGAAGCTTCAGTGAAGAATAAGGTTGGAATGTTAATACAGCTGGAGGACCACTCTCTTCTTCCCTGAGGGGGGGAAAAAACTAACGGACTAAGCTAACAAAGATCATTGCAATACGGTCAGATGAGTTCAGATAGTCCTAAGGCAAAGACCACTAGCAAGTCTGGAAAATCTATGTCCTGATACAGTTCAATTCTATTCCAAACTGGTTTCCATTACAAATGTGGAACAACT